GCTTTATCATAGTTTCAGTGTGCAATACTCAACCCCAAATCATGAGGTTTCAGACTGAAATGACTCGATCGCAGGATAAGTCAAAATGAAAAATTATAATTCCAATACTTGTAATGTGTATATATTGCTAAAACAAAAATCAATATCATTTTGGTTTTGGGCAAAAAAGGGAGCCAAAAAGGCACGCCTCAAAAATACCACGACTGGATGGGTGTGCATATGCTGGAGTAGTGTGGGTAATTATATTAACTTCCGTACAAAATTTAGTTCATAGCATAATTAAATAGTAGACCCATATGAGTATCATGTTGGTGCTCTAAGGGAGTTGCGCCTAATGACTGACAATCTATGTTGCAGGGACACAGGCATGTGTGTCACTGTTTGACAGGGACAAGAGGTAATAGCTTCCTTCTGCTTTTCTAATAAAAAAGATCCCATAATGCTCTTCTAATATAGCATTTCATGATGAGAAGAAAGAAACAATCAATTACACCTTAATTGGCTGAATCCATAGGTATATTCAAAGTTTCATAGATATTTTCAAAATTCACGTGCTACTCAAAACATAAAAGAAGATTAGGCCTTCAAAATGATGTAACAATGGTAAATAAACAAGAAGAAGATCCATTTTTGTCCAACAAGGGTTAAATAAGAAGGCAATATTTAATTTTCTTCAGAAATAAATTTTTTTCAAGCTATGTTGACAAGCATGCCTTCTCAAATAATTTATTAAAAATCGGAGAACTTTTGAAAAGATTGAATCTTTAAATGGAGTTTTGGTAACAGTGGAAATGGCTGGTAATTGCAATATATTTTTGAAAGTAATACGCAACAAAATTTGATTAAAACCATTTTATTTAGATTTTGCTCTAAATGTTAGTGAAATGGTGTAATATTGAAAAGGTCTACAATTGTGGGACCTTCCTAGGATGGTTCATCCGCAGAGGCTACCAAAATAGGTAAGTTTCACAATTTATCAAGTAACTTTTGTTAAAATATTGGAGGACAGATTTTTAATCGTTCTTAAAAGTAAGAAACAAATGAACCTTCCAGCCTTATTCGGTGCTCGAGTGAAACCCAAACAACTTTTTGTTTCTGATTTTTGCATAAGAAAAAAAAGAAATGGACTCCACCAAGTTCTTTGATTCAGTCAAGTCAACTGCATCAATAGAAAACTTACTCACATGAACTAATATGGAATAAATTTTCAAAGTGGTTGAAATCTTTTTTGATTGCAATAGCAGTTAGAATATTTAACAGAAATGACCTAAAATTTAATCAAGCCAATTTGAAATGGTTGAAATGTTCCAATGGTTTCACATAATTAGGAGACGAAGGGTACCATAGTTCCAACTAAGCAACTTGTTCTTCAGCATTTCTAGTTTCTTTTTTGTGGAGGTCAACTTGGATAGCATGATGGAGGTTTGAGAGCCTAGACCTCTCTCCAGTAGATCAAGTGTAACCCCACTTTCCTGAAGGCCCAATTCAAATACACGTATAGGTGGGAAAAAATAATATTATGCTCCCACCAGTAAGCGCAAAGGTTGTTCTTGTCCATGTTAAGAAAGATGCTAACCGTCTTTTCCTTTCATGTATGTGTTGCAGCTTGTATCAATCTAAAATACCTTCGATATGATTTTTGACAATAGTTGTTGGTTGTTTTCTCCTTTCAGCATCAACATTTTTAGCCACAATCCACAAATAATACTTAAACATCCCTTTGACTAAATTGGTGATAGGTAGAAAACACTTATGCAAATGGTTATTCAGCATTCATGATTAGAGATTTCAAGCTCCTTCCTAATAATAAGGGCATCTTTGTGAGGTTTCCACTTCTAACCTAGCTTTCATCAACGTACAAAATTTTGGTATTAACTGTCTAGCCATTTCTTCAGACTGGTATTAACTGTTGTTTTTTAGGGTTTTAAGCTTGTGGTTGGCAATGAGAGTACATTTGTGAAGCATCCACTTCTCATACATCTTTTATCAATGCGTGGAATTCCCATTAGTTCTCTTTAATATCAGCAGATTCTTCAACCATGAATATTATAATGGTGCTTAAAGTCACAGTCGAGGTCAAATTTCCCAACTGACATGTAGTCCCTGTATAATTCAGACTATCATAGCCTCTTAATCTAAAATCCTTCATATCTGATTCCAATACAACTCTTTTAAAAAAATTCGATCTTAATACCTTCAGCTCAAGTAGCACTTCTGGTAAGCTCGTCAACAAGCTAAGACTCTTTTTTTATTAAATGACTATTGGGAAGAGAAACGTGAGAAAATTTGGAACTTACATTCACCATGTTGTGGGACTACCAACATCAAATGCCTGGAGTGGACCATGTCCTGCTTAAATTCCACTCTTTTGTGAAAATAAGAAGACAGTACCTACATGTGGAGGCAACAAAAACTCACAAAACCTAAGTGGAAAATCCTAGTGAATGGCCTTCATATGTACATTTTTCAAGTGAAATGTTTGATCAAGAAAAGCTATCACAGTTGTAGCTCATTGTTTTCTTATTTTCCTTTCCAGAGGATTTAACCACAGTTTGTTGCATTGGGGCTAGGCCAAGTCCACCAGTGTTTAGCTAATTAGGTGCTCTATTTCTGATGATGATCACGGAGTTTGATACTAACTGGACATCAACATCTTGGATGCACAGTGCAGGAGCGTAGGTCATGACTTGCTCCAATACAAATGTAAGATGCAGATACAAGCTTTTTGAGTAAGGGACATTCATATAATAAAGGATCACGAGTTTCTAAAAAAGCCCAAATGATACTTAAGCTGAATTCCTAAAGCATGGAGAATTCTTGATTGCAATACATTACACTAATCATAGTTTTAAACAAATATTGAGGGCTTCACAACCTCATCAAGTTTAGGCGATTTATGTTTAGAGGCATCTGTATGATTATATGTATGTATATAAAGAGATTTTCCCAACAAAATAAACTATATCCCTGCTCATAGAGTTCTATTGTGCCCCCTCTTTCACAAAGTTTGGAATCCACTTTGTATAAAAGAATTTGTAGGACTATATGGGAGGAATCCACAATGTTTACAGGCATCTATATGATTATATGTATGTATATAACGAGATTTTCTCGACAAAGTAAACTAGAACCCTGCACATAGAGTTCTACTGGGCCCATCTTTCACAAAGTTTGGAATCCACTTTGCACAAAGGATATGCAGGACTCTATTGTGGTCTCATCTGAAACCTATTCCAACTCAAGCCGGTCAACTAAGGCTTCTGCAGTGTAAGCTCACATGGAACTTGAATTGCTATAACTTGGACTGCAATGCACAAATAGCCATTTCTAATCAATCCCAAAACTAATCATGTGAGCCCCCCATAACATTCATCCTAAAAATTTAAAACTTCATCCATCCAGCACAAATTTCTGATCGAGATAAAGATAACATAGACGGTCCTTCCCTCTGTCTCAACATTGTCATTATCATATCATGAAACAAATGTAATTGTACCTATCATGTTTTTGTTATAGTTCTCTCTAACTCCATGTACAGATATTTGATCTAATGGAATTTTCATTTCCCCAACTTGGCATGTGTCCATACTAAAGGTGACTTTCTCTCTCTTTTGCGCCTTCACATTTGCCGACAACTGCCGCATCTTTTACTTCATCTTCACAGAAAATTAACAGGTAGTTGCATTATTAATTCTTTGATTTTTTTCAAACAACCAGAGGAAAATGGACCGTACTAATTTCATGTAGAGAAAAATTTGCAACATTTGTACCCAATGATTCCAAATCGAAAAGCATTTGTAGCAACTAGATATAAGCATTTGCAGAGGTAAACTTTTTCATGTTTTAACAAAGTTTGCTTATCTCACTAGAGAATGAGTAGACGTACCTCTCTCTCTTACTGTAGATATTAGCTAACTTGTGTAATCATGGGAAAAAGTACAGGATGATTCCCCAGAATCTGTCAAATCTTCAGAATATCAAACACCATATCGCATAAAATCATGACTTTCCCATCATGAACCACCAAAGACTGTTTCTCTCTCTACCTCACTCCCATAAAAAGCAATGAACAAAATTCAAACTAGGGATGCGTATAATTAGTCTCTACAAACCTTACTCGTACCACTCTAGGACAGTAACAACGAATAGCACAGTTAAAAGCAACAATAGTTCCAGTACTGAGTAAAACATGCAGTTACTGTGAGAGAGAGAGAGAGAGAGAGCAAACAAATCGGACGTACTGCATGCGTCGCCAATTCCGATCCACAGGGTGCATTTATTTTGAGGTCAGTATGTTAACCAGACACGCAACATATGACAAAATCTACAGAGAATGACTTTGTTCCCACTGTTTTCGCATAAGCAAGCAGCAATATCAGCTAAAAATGATGAACATTTTCAATGCAAAGCAAAACATTTTGAACCATGCTGAAAATTTGGTTGAAAAATTGGAGAGAGTGAGAGAGTTGAAGTTCTAATGTTCAGTGCAATTAAGCAGAAATTAGGACAAAAATTAACGCAAAAAATTGAACATGAGAGAGAGAGAGGTCTTTTAACGCACAAAATTGAACAGAAGAGAGAGAGAGAGAGAGAGCGGTTCATTAACGCAAAAAAGTGAACAGAAGAGAGGTTCACTACGGCAAAAAATTGAACAGAAGAGAGAGAGTTCATTAACGCAAAAAAGTGAACAGAAGAGAGAGGGGGGAGTTCAAGTTCTATTGTTCATCTCCTTTAAGGGAGCGACAAAATAGCCGAGAGTTCATGCCAAAAACTGCAGAACAAAAATGAATAGGAGAGAGAAAGAGAGTGTACTCCAGTCCTCTACTTACATCGTCTGAGCAAACCACAAAATAGCCGACAGTCCACGCCATAAATTATGCAGCAAAAAATTTTAGAGAGATAAAGAGACTGAAGAAAAAATAGCCGACAACATTGAGAGATATTGGACAAAAGATGGAGACAGCAAAGAGAGAGAGATAGAGAGAGTCATTTTCACTCACCGAAAGCGCAGAGATTCCAAGCCCACGCCATTTCCTCCTCATCTCCATCGCCTCCTCTCTCATCTTATTCCTCTTCTTCTTTTTCTTCTCGCACTTCTCCCTCTCTTCCCTCTTCGAATTACTGAAACCAACGAAACCATCACTATTTTCCGAATTAGCACCCGTCGCAACCTGTGGAGCCTCTGCGAAAATCTCCATTATCGACCTCTTCTTTGTAACCCTAACTTTCTGCTTCCCCTTTACGAAACTCCCCTCTCCCTTTGCTAAACATCGATCGATATGAGCATTAACGGCATTGATCGTTGCAGAGCTGAAATTTCGACAAACTGGACAAATCTTGACCGTTGAATTCTCTGAAACAACATTTAACGAGTTCTCTTTATCCAAAACTGCTTTTGTCTTCTCCAGAGCCACTTTTTCTGCTTCCCTCGCTTCCGGTTCCACCTCCATCAAGTTCGTAAGCCGAACCCCCTCTTTCCAAGACGGGTCCGTACATCGAGCTTCAAGGCTGCCGGTTTCCGAAACCACATTGGATTTGATAGCGGTTTCTGGTTTTGGAGAATCAGAGGAGATTTTTGAAGAGTTGAGCGGTTTAGGAGCGGTGGTTTTAGGGCGGGGAGATGGAGAAAGTTCCTCCGGTAAAGGGATATCCGACAACCACCACTTGAATTTCCGGCAAGCAATTGGAGGGAGAACACCTTTGAGATCGCCGGAAAACGGCCAACATTTCTTTTCATCGACGCTTCTAACCTTTGATACATATTCACTTTGAAAAGAAAAAACACACCCAAAGAAACAAAAACCCAAAATTTCAACACATAATAGAAGAATAGAGAAGAAAGTTGCTTTAGAGAGTAGAGTGCTCTAGAGAGAGATGTTTCACGGGATAAAAAACTGTTAGAGAGAGAGGTGTACCGTATGGAGAAGCTCCTGAAACCAGCACCCATGGATCTGGACCAGCTTCTATCCGCCCAGAATTGGATCTCGGGCTTCTTCACTTCTCACAAAATAGATATCACAGAGAAAAAAGAAACGATAAAGGATCTTGCAGTTCTTCTCTTCTCACTCCAGAGACTAAAGAGAAGTAGATAAGAAACTGAGGACCAGCTAGAGAGAGAAAGTGGGGAGAAGGGAAATCATACATCGGTGCACACTACAACTAAAGAGAGAAAAGAACAGATTCCCACCCGGTTTTGTGGAGAGAGAAAGAAGTTTTGTAGAGAGAGAAAATGTGGGGCATAGAGAGAGAAAAATAAATGGGAGGGAGCAGCGGCAACGCCTTTTTCTCTCTCTTATTTCCTTCTGCTTCCAATTTCCCGCTCACCTCCTCGTCATGATCATCAACATGTCCAGAAAACGACCTGTGGAGCTTACCCATGGCCATGGCATGTATGATGGTGGCCATGCCATGCATGTTCTGGCCACGTCATCATGGGAGCGCACCCTCGCGACTGGTACACGGCGCTCCATTGGCCTTGGGTGGGGCCCACCAAAGCCTGACACCTGTCTCGTCGACAGAGACATGATTCGTGACTCTCTGTGTACCTTTGGACGATAATGCCCCCCCATCTTCCCTGAAGTTGGACGTCTTTTCCTTTTGCAAAAATCCAAGACTACTAAAAGTAACTTTAATTAGAAAGCCGTATTTCTTAATTACGCCTCTATTTATGGCCATGGGGCAAGTCAAAATTTGCCTTAAAACTTCTATAAACTCTCTCTCTCTCTCTCTTTAAAACATAATCAATTTGTACTTATCTTTCAGGATATAATTAATGGTCTCATTTTATTAAAGATCACCACATATTTTTTTCAATTGAGTGGGATTGACTATATAAATCTTGATCTTCATTGAGATATGGGGTAAATACATTGTATAAGAGAAAGATATAGCGGCCCAATCCACCATTCAAGCTCTTCAACAAATGGTGGAGGAGAGCTACTGCTCCACATTCTATCAAGTTTGTCAACGGAGCATTGGCTCATCTTCACCGGCCTTTACAAGGATAGATGGCGGATGGTCTGTGTACACATTTGTTATTCCTTTTGAATGATGCAGCTTGGTGCGGAGTCTTGTACGCGCCATCAATGCACAGCAAAATATAATGAATGGACACCATAAATAGACCTATTAGCATAAGCATCAATCCTCCATTCTTAAAAACCAAAAGTGAACACTAAATTTGTTGAGACCATTGAAGTCCACCCAGGTGTGAATGATCTCTAGGTTTAAGAAAATGGATTCATCCACATTGAAACTAGTCGTGGGTAATTTGATTTTTAGAACTTCTCCCACCGATTTTTAGTTTTTATTATTTGATCTGATTTTTAAAACTTCTCCCACCAATTTTTCTTTTTTATTATTTCTTAAGAATTTTCTATGTTAATTGACCTCTCTGAGTTAACCGATCCTGTAAGGCACAACTCCCTTTCCTTAAATCATATACTCATCATAGTCAACGTCAATTAATTGGAAAAATATTATGATTGAAGATGATCTAGAAGCTATAGTAATAAAAAAATAGCACTTAAGACATTTTAATTCAAAAATGATCCGTTAGAGACTTTTTTTGAAAGGGGACGCTCAACGTCATTTCATCCGAACAAAACCATGGGTTGGCGCCCTCACATTAAATTTGAATAATAAAATCCGCCTCCAAGCCCCACAACCACACCATATATTCCGCTTTATTATGGCGCTTTGGGGGCTCCCATTTATTATTTTGTCGAACTTTTTATGTCCCAATTTTAATATAACTCTTACCTTTTATTTCAAATATTTTTTTCATCATTTAACTTTTGGCCCTTTTACCCTTTTAAGAACATTTTCCCGCTCTTTTTTTTGTGCCTTTTTCATCAGCTACCTGTCCTGTACACGTGCTGTTCAGATAGAATGTCAGACTGGGTGCAACCCGCTTTCTCTCTCTATCTCTAGATGCAAAAATCTTAGCTATAGAATCTTAGATGCAATGAGTGTGAGCTAAGCTTGCTGATGCCTAACAGAAATTAACATAGATGATGAATTTTAGAGAGAAAGAAGGCAAGAGAGAGAGAGGAGAGAGAGTATCAATGTACCAAAAAAAAAAAAGGTATCTCTCAAGTCAATGTAAGTCCTCCAATTTCCAATGGGAAGTTGGAGAGAATCAATGTTAATCTCCCAACTTCCGATGTGCGGTTTGATATAAACACATTGATTAATGTGTTTATGGATTAGAGAGAGAAAATTTATCTCTTATTATTATGGAAGAAACATGTATGGAGTTTCTTTCTTGTACCATGTATCTAGGACCTATTTTCAACTTAGATCTATGTTTCTCCAAACAATAAGGTGCTTGCAGCTGGTACATAGAGTGGAATTGAGAATGCTTACGAGAGTGAAGAGTTTATTGAAAGAACAAAAATCCACATAAGGTTGTAACCAATTTATCTACGAGGTTTGACATTTCAAAATTCATCTTTTGGGATGAATGGTTGAAAATAGTGAAGGGTTGGCACAGAATTGCCTGATCCGATCTGAGAATCGATCACCTTATTCTGATTTTGCATATATATAAGAAAATAGCTTAGTTTAGAAGCGAACCAGCAGCTCTGCATAGTAAAATGGAGATTCAGACTGATTTTTACCCAGTTCCCTATTTTTGTATGTGTTTTTTCACCAATTCACTGTTTTTTCCACACAAAAAAATGGTGATATGGATCCACCGATTCACTGATCTAGACCAATTTTTGGGTGCCTAATTTGGGTCACTTATCCGTTTTTTAAAGCCCTGGTTGAAAAGATGATGACAACTACTAAACTGTCAAATGAGTCATCAAGTAGAAGTTCACTTGGTTATAGCCTTTAGTGGTTTTTTATTTCCGAAGGGTAAAAAGCATTTGGTGAACAAGGGTTAAAGAATCTAAAGATACACCAAAGGCTTTTTAACTCTTTGGAGTTCAAAGGAATGTGTGGCTGAAAAGATAGATGATAGGGCCACATGTAAAGGATTTAGTTGATGGGTAGAACCTTGTCCAATTACTCACTGACGGCCTTATGACAGGAAAAAGTGTAATGCCAATACTTTACACATGATCACAATCTGAGGTGGACCAAAGATGCCCCTCATACAAGAGATGCAAAACAGGCAAAAGAAGGCAGGTTTTAGTGGCCACTATGGGTAGAGAGATGAGTACCACAAGAGAGGTATTCTTGGAAATAGAGCCAGGAGGATATAACCAATGCTAATACTTGTAATTGGCTTTTATCAAAATACTAAAAGATCTACTTGATCATTTACAATAATGTTCATCATCATCATTACCCTTTAAACCGTATTTCATTTATTTGGAGTCGGTTCTATGAGTCATACTTCTTCTTTCTTATCTATCAAAGGTCATACCCTCATTAAGATCAAAATTTATTATATACTTTTTCACTACTCTATCTATATATCCTTTTGAGCATTCTTTTTACCCTTTTGGAACTTTCCATTTGAACCAAATCATATTTCATAACTAGTGCTATATTAGGTATACACTGCATACAGCACAGCCAGCTCACTTAAGTTTACATTTCTCATCTTATCTCTTATTGAAGCTATACCTAAGTTCCCTCATATGTATTCATTTTAAATTCTATCATTTTTTGTTTTACCAATCATCCATCTCGATATTCTCATCTCAACTACACTCATCCTATGGATATATTGTTTCTTTACTACCCAATATTTTGTCCCACAAAGCAAGGCTAGTTCTGTAGCTATTTTATAAAACTTCCCCTTCAGTCTCAATAGTATGCAACGATCACATAAATCTCTGGTTGCACATCTCTACTTTGCCCATCCAGCTATAATTCTATCTACGATATCTTTCTCAATCTCTCCATCCTTCGAGATCATCGACCCTAGATATCGGAAACAATCTCTTTTAGCTATTTGTTGACCATCGTCTCAACTACTTCCTCGTTTCTACTTTTACTATTACTAAACTTGCATTCTACTAATGTTAAGATAGAGAATGTGAGCCGAGTTGGCATCATCTCAAAAACTATAAAGGTCAAGTTTGATGCGAAGAGGTTGTTGATTTAAAAATCCAAGTCAATCATGGATGATACTATAAGCATTTTTCTTGAAGAGGAAACACTTCTCAGAGAAAAAAGCGGATGACCGCAATGAGGTTTTCTGTTAGTAACTCTTGCAAGGGTTCTCACGGTAGAAGAAGATTTCATGGTTTGGGAAGGCCCCAGAATAACCAAGAACATTGACCACAGTCTAACAAAAATGACCTAAAACCACTAGATCGAAAAAGGATTCTTGTTACACTCTGTGGGAAATTTAGGCATTATGCCTTAGATTGTTGGCATAACTATAAGAATTATGTTGTCAAGAAAATTAGAGAAAACTAAAGAGGCAAATAGTGTAACTAATGTTTATGAAACTAAATATCAATAGGTTATAGAGTTAGCATGCTCAAAGAATATGACACAAGGAGCAGATCTCCTCATCCCAACGAACCCATGTAAGACATGCCTAAATTTAGGATCTGGGAGAACCAAGCTATCAAAGTGGGAGGCAATGGAAATACTTCAAAATGCTTAATGGAGCAATCAAGAAGTTTACTAATGTCTTACATGTTCTGAAGTTCAGGAAAAGTCCCACGTTCTTGGGGCAATTAGTAGATCAAGATTTCCATGTCATCTTGGATGAAAGAGGTTGTGAAATCCTGTCATAGGAGAATGGCAGGGTTATTTCATGCAAAAGGGACTTGGTATTTTATTCTCCATGAGTATGGATCTGACCTTGGTTAAGAGAATTTCTTGCATTAATATTGGCCCCATATGATACCAAATGATGGTACATTTTAATCCTCTTCGGCTAAAAGGTATGACTAAGAAGAGATAAGCTGCTGATGGGAATCATATTTGCAAAGCATGTGCAATAAGGTATCCATTAGTCCAATTTTTCACCAAAATACATCACTCATTGGAAATCATCCAAAATATATGTGGGGTGTTAATCCAGTGGTATCTCACATATGTAGTAATATGCCATTTTTATTGATTATCACTATGGGTACAATTGAATTTATTTCCTGTAAACAGAATCTTCAAAGAGTTAAAGACACTTGTAGATAATGATTTCATTACAATAAAGAGAAAACTCTAGACAGATAATGCGGAGAGCTCGTGCCAGAGGAATTTGATGAATTATTGATAAAGAATAGATTAATTAGTCAACTAAAATA